CTTCTCCCTACGCTGGTCCGACTGGAGGTCTTACTGAGCGTCGTGAGCCTGCGTCTCGTCCTGCGTCGCCTGTTCGTACTGAGCGCGCTAGTGGTCGTGGTTCGCGTCAGCGTCCTCCTCCTGTCCCTGGCACGCACCGGATGTCACTGCGTCCGTCCACTGCTCCTCTGCGTGCCCCTTTGCCTTCTCCTCCTGCTTCCTCTCTTCCTGCTCTTGCCGACCCTGAGTCGGACTCTCTTCGCGCTGCCAGTCCTACTGTCACGCGTCTCCTTGCTACTGCTGTCACTGACCCTTCCTTCGAGTCGTCTGCTGCGTCTGCCCTTGTCACTGAGCTTGTCGACTTTGCTGCGCGCTGTCGTCTAGACTACGCTGCTCGTCTTGTCACTGAGTCTGAGTCCGCCTGTCCTCCGTCCGTCGGGGGTGAGTGTGCCCTTGGCACGGACGTCCTTGAGGACAGGCAGGAGGAGTTCCAGTGTCTAGCCGCTGCTTCACCTCGTCTTGCGTCTGTACTGCTAGCCCCTGAGGGAGACCCGGATGCACCAGACATCCCGACTCCGCGCTCTTACGCGGAGGCGATAGAGGGTCCCTACTCCTCTCAGTGGCAGGCAGCTATGGATGCAGAGATGGCTTCCTGGAAGTCCACAGGCACCTACGTTGACGCTGTTCCCCCTCCTGGGGCGAACATCGTCAGTGGCATGTGGATTTTCAGGGTGAAGCGGCCGCCGGGTTCTCCGCCTGTCTTCAAGGCGCGTTACGTGGCTCGTGGCTTCAGTCAGCGGCAGGGGGTTGACTACTTTCAGACCTTCTCCCCCACCCCGAAGATGACCACTCTTCGGGTTCTGCTGCACGTTGCTGCTCACCGTGACTACGAGCTGCACTCTCTTGACTTCAGCACTGCTTTCTTGCAGGGCAGCCTGCACGAGAAGATCTGGCTGCGTCGCCCACCTGGCTTCACTGGGTCTTTCCCTCCTGGTACCCAGTGGAGTCTCCGGCGTCCAGTCTACGGTCTCCGCCAGGCGCCACGTGAGTGGCACGACACACTGAGGACTACGCTCGCGGCACTTGGGTTTGCTCCTTCTACTGCCGACCCGTCGCTGTTTCTTCGCACCGACACCTCTCTGCCGCCGTTCTACATCCTCGTGTACGTCGACGACTTGGTCTTTGCCACAGCTGACACTGCTGGACTCGCCTACGTGAAGTCCGAGCTGCAGAAGAGACACACGTGCACTGACCTGGGTGAACTGCGCAGCTACCTTGGCTTGCAGATCACCCGGGACAGAGCACGCCGCACCATTACCCTGACTCAGTCACACATGGTGCAGCAGGTCCTTCAGCGCTTCGGCTTCACGTACTCCTCGCCTCAGGCCACTCCTCTGCCTACTCGCCACTCGCTCTCAGCTCTGCCTTCGGATGAGTCCGTAGAGTCGAGTGGCCCGTTTGCAGAGCTTGTTGGCTGCCTCATGTACCTGATGACCTGCACACGACCTGACCTCGCATACCCTCTTAGCATTCTCGCACGCTTTGTTGCTCCTGGGAGACACCGACCAGAGCACATGGCTGCAGCGAAGAGGGTGTTGCGCTACTTGTGCAGTACGTCGGGCATGGGGCTAGTGCTTGGAGGGCGCAGTCCAGTGGTCCTCACTGGGCACGCAGACGCTTCTTGGGCTGACGACCAGGCTACGCAGCGGTCGTCACAGGGTTACACCTTCAGCCTAGGTTCCGGCTCTGTCTCGTGGCGGGCTACCCGCTCGTCTTCTGTTCTCGGCTCCAGTTGTGAGGCTGAGATCTACGCTGGGGCTATGGCTGCACAGGAGTTACGCTGGCTCACCTACCTGCTGACCGACCTTGGAGAGCAGCCTCGTTCTCCTCCAGTCCTGTACGTAGACAACAAGGCCATGCTGGCCTTGTGTCGAGAGCAGAGACTGGAGCACAGAACGAAGCACATTGCTCTCCGCTACTTTCTTGCTCGTGAGCTACAGCAGCGTGGACAGCTACGACTTGCGTACGTGGCCTCTGAGGCCAACACTGCTGATGTGTTCACCAAGGCACTTGCGCCTTGTGATCATCAGCGTTGTTGCAAGCAGTTGGGTCTTGTGGCTGTCTTGCCTCACTTCCTCTCCTCTTGACCTTGCTTGTACCTTCGCCTATATATACTCTTGCTCTTGCTTGCTTGATTCTTGTATATCTCTATATATGATCTTGCATGTAAACTGGCCTTCTGGCCTTTGAACTTGTGCTCGGAATGCGTGGTGACTTTGTGATCCACCCTGAGCTTTGCTTTGCTTTGCTTGACTGGTCTTGTGACCCCTTGTTCTCCCCCACTTTGCCTATGGGGGTGTGTCAGAACATATAGCTTACTTGTTTCTGTAGGCTATTGTGGGGTATCCCATAGGGGGTACAACCCAATTAGGGTTTCCTATTTGTACCCACTTCATTTCATAGTGATCCACTCCCGTTCATTCAGTTTCACAGGGGGTCGCTTTTACGTGGGGGGAGAAAGAGCATGCTGCCTTCTCTGCCCTGAAAACTATTCTCTGTTCACCGCTCGTCCAGCGCATCACTGACCCACACCGCCCATTCTAAGTAGTTACTAACGCCAGCGACATCGTCATTGGAGTCGTACTACTACAGGACTTCGGCAACGGCCTACAGCCTATCGCATACGAGTCACGAAAACTGCATCCGCCCAAGAAAAATTACCTGATACACGACCGCGAAATGCTTGCGATCATGCACGCGTTCAAAGTGTGGCACTGTTACTTGATCGACGGAGACGTCACAGTACGGACAGACCGTAAATCACTACAGTACCTCCGCGCACAGCCACACCTCAACCCACGACAGATTTCGTTGGCTCGACTTCCTCGAGTCAAATTTTCACTACACGGTCACCTACAAAAAGGGAGCCTCGAACATCGCCGGACGCACTGACCCGCCTCGAACACTGCCCAAATTCACGCAATACTACTTGCCCAGACCAGCCCCCTACTGATAGGCCTAGTTAACCACGGGTACCAAACGGATCCATTCTTCACAGGAGGAAATTCGCAGCAGTTCGCAGCAGCAAGGGGAGTCTATTACGTAAAAGCTGGAACCGACCGCATCTGGGTGCCTGGGTATACACTGCTACGGGAATTACTGTTACAAGAGGCTTAAGAGAGAGTTACCTCGGGGCATTTTGGGGTAGAAAAGACACGGCAGCAGCTGCAGCGGTATTATTACTGGCCCGAAATGTTGACCGACGTACAACGACACGTGGCATCGTGTCCCACTTGCCAGCTCATGAAGTCATCACGGCAGCGGTCGGCAGGACAGTTGCAACCGATTCCACCCCCAGAGCATGCTTGGCAGCAGGTGACGATGGACTTCGTCACGGGGTTACCGGCCGGAGCGAGTGGGAACGACGCGATCCTGGTCGTCGTCGATCGACTGACAAAAATGGCACACTTCGCAGCCTGCAAAAAATCAATCACAGCCGAAGAAACAGCACGCCTCTTCATCGCCACCGTCGTACGCCTGCACGGGATACCAGCAGCGATCATCAGCGACCGAGATACGAAATTCACCAGCAACTTCCGGCGGAACCTGTGGCAGCAGTTCGGCACGCGACTACAGTTCAGCTCTTCGTACCACCCCGAAACTGACGGACAGATAGAACGAACAAACCAGACCATGGAGTAGCTCATCCGAGCCACGTGCGACGACCCGACCACGTGGGAACATCAACTGCCACTCATCAAATTCGCGTACAACAACTCGCCATCCGCCACGACCCAACAGTCACCATTTTACCTAAACTACGGACAAGACCCGACAGTACATATGACCCCGAATCCCGACAACCCAGTGCCACGAGCACAACAGTTCGCCGAAATATTACAAGCAGCACGGACCCAAGCAGCAGACGCCATAAAAAAATCCAACATCATCGCTAAACGTAACGCCGACCGCCACCGCAGACCGGTCACTTACCAGCCCGACGACCTGGTTTTACTTGACACCCAGAACGTCCGCCTGCCCATCACCCCAAAACTCCGCCCCCGATACTGTGGACCATTTCGCATAAACCACATGATTACGCCCGTCACCGCCCACCTCCTCCTCCCTGCTGACTGGTACGCCAGCCCCTCATTCCAGGTCAGCCTGCTTCGCCCTTACGTCCCGCCCACGAGCCAACTGCCACGCAATCGCCCAGCCAGCATGATACGACCGCCAACTGAACCAATCATCACCCCCGAAAAAATCCTGAGCCACCGAGTTCGTGACCCTCGAGGAGCCCGAAGGATCGAGTTCCTGATCCGCTGGAAAGACCGTACACCCACCAAAGACAATTGGGTTCCCCTAGATAGAATCGAGAACCACCCCGTCCTCACCGAGTATCTGTGCAGCCGAAATTTTAGGGATGTACACGCGCTTTCGTAAGGAGGACCTACCTTAGGGGGGGGGTAGTGTAAGGAAAATTCTTTTTCCTTACTTCGCGTCCCCGCTCAGCGCATACACTACTGAAGCACCACAGTCAGTACCGTTATCACTCGCAACTCTCGCATCGACAATCCTCCCGCCACCTTCGCACATCGCACCCCGACCTCACGGCTCGGCGGGTAACCCGCGCCCCGGGCCTCTGCTTCGGCACTTTTCCCGACCTCAGTCCCAGGCCCGTCACGCGACAACCATAGTCCGTGACCGTTACCACTGTAGTTTCGCTATATATTCTTCGCTCATGCCTTCGCTCATTGTATTCCGGCTTTGATAGTGCAATTCTCGCTCGCTCACTCAATTGCACTCGTAACACTTGCCCATACATTCGTGTTCGTCATACAAGTAGGAAGCCACACTCCATAAGCGCACGCATAGACACGGTGACTGCATCAAGCAGCAGAAAGCGGAGCATGCATGCGCTAATTCCCATATCGTCCTCCGGGATGCTGCTCGTCCCCATTCCACCACTCTCAGCAGACTAATTTCTGTTCCCGCGTTAGCGAAACCCTCACCGCGCGGCGATGAAGGGTGCGCGCGGTCGCGAGAGCTCGCGCCTCCTGTCGCTCCCCGACGAGCTTCTCGAGCCCATTCTCGCGCGCATCGATCATCTGCGCGAGCGCTGCAGCCTCGTGCTCTCCTGCTCACTCCTCCACCGCCTCTCCCGCCGCACGCCCTACTCGCTCCACCTCCACCCCTTCGCGAAAAAACATGATGTCACTGCCCGAGAATGGCTGAAGAATTTTGAGATTTATTCTGGGGTATTTACCCACATAATCGACCTCACGGTGGAGGTTAGTGCCGGCATCCTGGATCACCTTCTGGGCGGCATCGGTGCGGGGTGCGCGCGACTGGAGAGGCTGAGGCTCGTGTCGGACCGCGACCGGTTTCAGATCAGCCCCGCGACGTGGAAGAATTTTGCCACGCAATGCCCGTGAGTGAGTGAGTGAGTGAGTGAGTGGTTCTGGCTTCAAGCTGCGACGGCTTCTCGTATACTTGCTCTGCCCCTTTCGTTCATTCTCTCGTTAGCACTGCGCTGCGCAAAGTTGTTTGTCTCTACTCCCCCACGTCGCTTTGCTTCCCGCCTTACGAACCTCTATCACCTTCGCCAACACGGATTCGTCGCCCTCTCATTCGCCGTTCCCTCATTCGCCGTTCCCTCATTCGCCGTTCCCTCATTCGCCGTTCCCTCATTCGCCGTACCCTCATTCGCCGTTCCCTCATTCGCCGTTCCCTCATTCGCCGTTCCCTCATTCGCTGTTCCCTCATTCGCTGTTCCCTCATTCGTCGTTCCCTCATTCGCCGTTCCCTCATTCGTCGCTCCCTCACAAAGTCCCTCCCTCATTCGTCGTTCCCTCATTTCGCCGCTCCCTCATTCGCCGCTCCCTCACTCGCCGTCGTTTCTTGCATTACATGTGCACCGCCACATTTCTGTTCTCTTCGCCGCTCCCGCGTCATGACTCCGCCCCCACGCGCTTTGCCTCTCTCATCCTGTCTACCTGTATTCCCTTCACCCCTTCCCCTCCCGTATTGTCTAAGCCTTGTCCCAATTCCTCCAGTGCATATCACCACTACTTGCCTTATGTCTTCGGCAATCACCCAACCCATAATGCCTCGCTAACACACTGGGCCTAAATGCTGTTCGTTCAGAAACAGCGGTCGCCTTTTAACCCTTGTGAAGGCCCGCAGACGTCACACAGCCACATCCCCCTGCACCCCTCCTCTCCTCTCCCCCTCCCATCAGCCGCATGGCGTCACTGGAGCTTGAGTGCCCATTCGCCTGCACCGACCCGCCGCCTCCCCCAGTGCACGCCTTCCCCTCACTGCGCTCTCTCTCCCTCCTCTTCGTGCCCACGCACTACCGCTTTGTCGCCCTCTGCTCCTCCCTCACCTCGCTCACCCTCTCGCGCCCCTACGCCTTCGGCCTCCACACTCTCGCGTCCGCCTCCTCCCCGCTGCGCCGCTCCCTCGCCGCCCTCACCATCCACAACGCCAAGCTCGAAGGCGCCCTCAAGCCCCTTGCCTCCTTCCCTCGCCTCGCCTCGCTCGCCTTCCGCTCCTGCGACATCGACCCATGCGACCTGCACGCGCTCGCATGCTCGCTGCACACGCTCACCCATCTGGCCGTCCACGACTGCCCCATGATTCCCAGCCACTCCCTCGCAGCGCTGGTTGAAGTTAACCCCGCTCTCGCCTCCCTCTCGCTACACTCCACCTCCTACTTTCTCTTCATCCCACAAGGCCTCCGGGTTCTGCTCCTCTCGTCCTCCTCCCACCTGCACACCCTCACACTCTCCGTGCTGCCTTCGTACCGCCCAGGCATGCTTGCATGCTGCAGCAATCTGCAACGCCTGACGCTGAGAGGACAAGAGGCGGCGAGCAGAGGTATCTTGTCGTCCATGTCGCCGCAAAAGCCGTCTCTGGATTGCCTTGTGGCCATGCTGGTGCGCGTGGAGCAGCCGGGGATCGTTGACGGACCGGAGGGAAGGGATGATGGAGTGGCGGGGCAGCAAGGGGCGATGGCTGTGGAGAACGAAGGGGGAGGAAGCACCGCTGCTTCCCCTGCAGCAGCAGCTGAAGAAGAAGAAGAAGAAGAAGAAGAAGAAGAAGAAGAAGAAGAAGAAGAAGAAGAAGAAGAAGAAGAAGAAGAAGAAGAAGAAGAAGAAGAAGAAGAAGAAGAAGAAGAAGAAGAAGAAGAAGAAGAAGAAGAAGAAGAAGAAGAAGAAGAAGAAGAAGAAGAAGAAGAAGAAGAAGAAGAAGAAGAAGAAGAAGAAGAAGAAGAAGAAGAAGAAGAAGAAGAAGAAGAAGAAGAAGAAGAAGAAGAAGAAGAAGAAGAAGAAGAAGAAGCAGAAGATGAATCAGAGGCAATGACAATCGCAGAAGCAGAAGCAGCAGAGGGCGACGAACTGGCATCACCGGCCACGCCGGTGGTGGCCTGCGAGGGGGTGAGGGGCAGCAGCAGGCGACGGTACGTGGACCTGCCCGTGGAAGCAGCAGCATCATGCAGTGACTTTGTGGCGGCAATGAACAACTGGATGGACCTCATGGAGACATCCAAGTGGAAGCTCAAGGAGGCCGCCGTGGAGGCGCTGCACCGCCGCCACTTGCACCACGGCGTGGGGGCCCTCTCCCACATCCACCAGGCCGTCGTTCGGGTGCGCTTCGCCATCCCTGCAGTGCCGCTGCGTGCGGCTGGCTAAAGCCGAAATGAAAAGCAGCAGTGCACGCCAGGAGGCACTTGCAAAGGCCTGTCGTGCTGCCGAGGCTGCAGGCTTCTTCACTGCTGTTGTGGAGGAGGAAGTGCAGGCGCAGCCGGAGTGGAATGAGGAGGGGGGGGGAGGGCAATGGATTGATGCAGAAGAGGTGGTGCGGTACATACCCGAGGATGAACTGGAAGATGAGCTGGCGGCCGTGAGTGCGAAGCTGCTGGCGTGGGTGGCAGTGCCGCACGCAGACGCACGGGAGCTGCTGCGTGCGCTGATGGAGCTGCTGCTGCTGGAGATGGAAGACATGGGCGCTCGCTTCGACATCAATGATCCTGCTCCGCCCCACCCCGCAGCATTGCCCGCGCTGGCAGCAGTACCCGCGCCGGCAGCAGTGCCTGGGGCAGCGGCAGGAGGGCTGGTCACTACAGCAGCGGGAACTGGGGCAGCGGCACCGGTGCCTGGGCCGGCAGCACAAGGAGCAGCAGAAGGGGTAGCAGCAGAAGGGGCAGCAGCAGAAGGAGCAGCAGCAGAAGGGGCAGCAGCAGAAGGGGCAGCAGCAGAAGGGGCAGCAGCAGAAGGGGCAGCAGCAGAAGGGGCAGCAGTAGGAGGGGCAGCAGCAGAAGGGGCAGCAGCAGAAGGGACAGCAGCAGAAGGGGCAGCAGCAGAAGGGGCAGCAGCAAAAGGGGCAGCAGCAGGAGGGGCAGCAGCAGAAGGGGCAGCAGCAAAAGGGGCAGCAGCAGAAGGGGTAGCAGCAGAAGGGGTAGCAGCAGAAGGGGCAGCAGCAGAAGGGACAGCTGTGAAACATTATATATGTTGTGTTAGTTTAGGCTACAGTGGGTTAGCCTATAGGGGGTACACAATTCTAGGGTTAGGTACTTGTACTCATTTCACTGCTAGTTCATCCATTCCTGTTCAGTGATTCCAACATGGTATAGAGCAGGCTCTTCCCCGCCCCTAGAGGCCCCTCTTGACAGCCCCGCGCTAGCCCCGTTCAGGCCCCGTCGGCCCCACGCCCGCTCTCTCTAGCGGCCCCGTTCAGGCCCCGTCGACCCCTTTAAGGCCCCGTTCAGGCCCCGCGCTAGCCCCGTTCAGGCCCCGTCGGCCCCGTTTCAGGCCCCGTCGGCCCCGCGCTAGCCCCTCTCAGGCCCCGTCGGCCCGCGCTAGCCCCGATTCAGGCCCCGTCGGCCCCGTTTCAGGCCCCGTCGGCCCCGCGCTAGCCCCTCTCAGGCCCCGTCGGCCCGCGCTAGCCCCGTTTCAGGCCCCGTTGGCCCCGTTTCAGGCCCCGTCGGCCCTGCGATAGCCCCTCTCAGGCCCCGTCGGCCCGCGCTAGCCCCGTTTCAGGCCCCGTTGGCCCCGCGCTAGCCCCTCTCAGGCCCCGTCGGCCCCACGCTAGCCTCATTCAGGCCCCGATCGGGCCCGCGCTAGCCCCGTTTCAGGCCCCGTCGGCCCCGTTTCAGGCCCCGTCGGCCCGCGCTAGCCCCGTTTCAGGCCCTGTTGGCCCCGTTTCAGGCCCCGTCGGCCCCGCGCTAGCCCCTCTCAGGCCCCGTCCGCCCGCGCTAGCCCCGTTTCAAGCCCTGTCGGCCCCGCGCTAGCCCCGTTTCAGGCCCCGTCGGCCCCGTTTCAGGCCCCGTCAGCCCCGCGCTAGCCCCGTTCAGGCCCCGTCGGCCCCGCGCTAGCCCCGTTTCAGGCCCCGTCGGCCCCGTTTCAGGCCCCGTCGGCCCCGCGCTAGCCTCGTTCAGGCCCCGTCGGCCCCTTGCTAGCCCCCTCAAGGCCCCGTTTGGCCCCGCGCTAGCCCCGCCCAGGCCCCGATCGGCCCCGCGCTCGCCCCTCTAGGGCCCCAACCGACCCGTGCCCACCACCTAGAGGCCCCGAGCGGCCCGTTCCCGCCGCAGCACACGAGGGAGAGCGGGCGGCCCGTCCCCGCTGTGACCCGAGCCGCGCGACCCGAGCCGCGCGCCCCGAGCCGAGCCGCGCGCCCCGAGCCGAGCCGCGCGCCCTGAACCGAGCCGCGCCACCCAGCCGAGCCGCGACCCGACCTGAACCGAGCCGCGCCGCCCTGCCCTACCTGGTTCGTCCTACCTGCTTCTCCTACTGCTACTGCTGCTATTTCTACTGTTCCTATGGCTAGCCCACAGGTTCTCGTGTTCGATGCTGAGGGCCGCCCTGTGAAGTTTGACACCTGGCTCGATGACCTGCACCTCTACCTACAGCTCACAGCCAAGGATGACATCTCACTGTACGATCACGCCCTAGGCCATGTCACTGCCCCTGCTGCTACTGCTGACAGCACTGCTCGCTCACAGTGGCAGACTCGTGATGCCCACGCTCGCTTCGCCATTCGCAACTCCCTGCCGATAGACGAACGCGAGCACTTTGGTCAGCACAAGACTGCACAGGCACTGTACACAGCTGTAGTTGCTCGCTACTCCTCACCTGCCTCTGCCGCACTAGGCCGTCTCTCCCTCCCCTACCTGTTTCCCGACCTGGCCTCCTTTCACACAGTCGCTGACCTCATCACGCACCTCCGTACTAGTGAGGCCCGCTTCCGTGCCGCCATGCCTGCTGAGTTCCTTGCCACGCACCCCCCTCCACTCTGGCTCACTCTCTACCACCTAGTCACCCGCCTCCCTGACACACTGCGTGCTGTCAGGGACCACTTCCTAGCTCGTTGCCCCACTGAGCTCACCATTGCCCTCCTCGAGAAGGGGCTACTTGCAGCTGAGACTAGCATAGTCGCTGTAGGTGCCTCTCGTGGCGACCCCCGTACCCCGTTCTTTGAGGGGTGTTCTCCTTCCCCCCTTCTTCCCTCTGTCGCCTCTGCTGCTGCTGTCGACCTTCTTGGTACTGAGAAGGTCGGCGCTGCGTCTGCCTCGAGCGGACGCCGCAGCGGCAAGGGCAAAGGGGGCAAGGGTGGTGGCGGTGACGGCGGGGGAGGCGGCGGTGGGGGCGGTGGAGGCATTGGGGGTGGTGGCTCGGCTGGAGGGGCGAGTGGTAGCGGTGGGGGTGGTGGCGGCAGCGGCGGGGGAGGTGGCAGGAGTGGAGGCGGCGGTTGGGGTGGCGGTGGACGAGGCGGCGGCAGGGGTTGGGGTGGTCGAGGAGGTGGCAGCGGTGGTGGTGGCCGTGGAGGCACTGGCGGTGGCCAGGGCCAGCAGCACACTCCCTCGCCCCAGGAGGTCCGTGAGTGGTACTCTCAGCACGGGGGTGGGGGTGGTCTTAGCTGCACGTACGTCATTCGCACTGGTGACCGCACTGGTCAGCAGTGTGGACGACCGCACGCCACACAGCGCTGCTTCTCTCGTCTCGACGACGCTTGGCGTGTTCAGTTCCCTCAGGCCAGTGAGCTGCCCCGCTGGCTTGATCTCCTGAAGAAGGGGATTGGTATCTATGCTCTAGACTTTGATGCTATTCTATCTGCCATGTATGTGATGTCTACTAGTGGAGAAGGGTGCTGAGTACTTGTGTGTGCCGCCCGACCCGGGCATTAGGGCCAGTGCGTCTGCCGCTCCAGGTACTCGCGTGTCGGCTACCCCAGGTGCTGGTGAGGCTGCTGCTCTAGGTGCTCGTGTGTCTCCTCCCCTTGGTAGTGCGTCAACTGCCGCACTGCACACCTTCACACTGGACTAAGGTGCTTCTCGCTGCTTCTTTCATGACCGCACTGCCCTTGAGCCGCTTGCTCGGCCAGTTGCTGTCTCCCTTGCTGATCCCTCTGGGGGTCCGGTCATTGCGACCTCTTCCACTGTCCTTCCTTGCCCTGCGGTCCCGTCAGGCACACTGTCAGGTCTCCACCTCCCCTCGTTCTCTACGAACTTGGTGGCAGGATGTGCACTCCAGGATGGGGGTGTTCACCAGTTCACCCCTGCCTACGAGCGCGTGACACACTGCACGTGTGCTCGTACGGGCCGTCACTTGGCTACCTTCACTCGGCAGCCGGGGTCGGACCTGTACACACTGACTATTGAGTCCCCTCAGGTTGCTGCGACTGCGTCCGCGTCCGCGTCAGGTTAGCTGTCCGCCCCCTGCTCGTGTCGCTCTTTGGCACACGAGACTGTTGTCTGGCACCACCGCCTTGGCCACCCGTCTGTGCAGCGGCTTCGTGCCATGCACTCCCGGTACCTTGTCTCTGGCCTGCCCAGGGTCCTTCCTGTCCCTCCCACCCTCGCCTGCTCCTACCTGTCTCCCCTGTGTCGAGGGACGGCAGCGCGCCGCTCCTCACTCCTCCTCGTTCCCCCCGACGACTGCTCCCTGGCAAACACTCCACATGGACGTGTGGGGCCCAGCCCGCATCCGTGGTCAGGGTCAGGAGAGGTACTTCCTGATAGTTGTTGACGACTACTCGCGCTACACCTCGGTCTTCCCCTTGCGCACCAAGGGTGAGGTCCCTGATGTCTTGATCCCTTGGATCCGCAGAGCCTGTCTCCAGCTCAGCGAGCGTTTTCACTCGGACTTTCCAGTCCTGCGCTTGCACTCTGACAGAGGTGGTGAGTTCTCCTCCGACCTCTTGGCAGCCTACTGTGCTGAGCACGGCATTGAGCAGTCGTTCACGCTTCCGGCTTCTCCACAGCAGAATGGGGTTGCGGAGCGCCGCATTGGCCTGGTCATGGAGGTCGCCCGTACCTCCTTGATCCATGCGGCTGCCCCCCACTTTCTGTGGCCGTTTGCGGTCCG